TAAATTACAATATATATATAATTTACAATTTTTTGTCACTATTATAAAAACTCAAAGTTTTTTTCTAGAAGTACCATAATAATTAGGAAACTAGTTTTTTTTTTCAAATATTCAGTGAATATTGGGCCGATTATAATTTTGCCCACTGGGCCGTTGATAGCCAACTATAGCAGTCAGTCTAGGGTTTAGTTTCTAGACAATTTTATCGATTTGGTACTTGTCTAAATAAATGAAAAAAACATAGCGGGTAAACAGTGATGTTCAAGTACCACCAATTTTCAACAAAATCGATTGGTTTTTGTTATTGTTGTGGACACTTGTTGCAATTCAACAACATTCTCCATTGAAAAGCTTAACAATTTAATAAAATATAATATGTCAAGGTTCCTCATAATGTTATTTTGTACTTTTTCAGTTTATATTTGGTAAAATATTAAACCATATCAGTATTAAGGATTGAAAATTCAATATAAAGCTCCATATTAAGCTGTTAAACTGTTCATCAATTTAAAGATATCAAAAATACATAGGTACGTTACAAATTACAATTTATTTGTATATCTGTTTGAAGATTAAATGTTGACAAAAGTAAAATAATAGCGAGTTTTCTTTAAACGATATTAGTTATTGTGTGGTTTACTGTAATTGTTATTAAAATAAATATCTGTCATATAGATTTGTGTAACTTTTCACCACCACTACCAATATAATACTATATTTTTTATATTTTACAAATAAGCTTACAAATATTTTTATGCCACAAACCTATTCATACCATTCTACAGTGAGTCGGTCTTATAACTTATAGGAATATAATTGCAAAAAAACATTTAATCAAACCGAATTAAGGGGATTGAAAGCGGTGATTTTCTGCCTTGTCTAACACACGTGGAACATAATAATTTAGACGTGTTTTAATTCCAACGTACCTGCAATTGATACAGTGAAGCCATAAGAATTCCTAAAACAGATTTGAATTTGTCGACAAGTCTACTTAATATCTACACATTTCCTTACAAATTCAAATCTGTTTTTAGAATTTTTATCGATTCACTAGATAAATCGATACTTTGTAATGATAACATATAAACTACTATGTTCCACGTGTGTTTTTCAAGATGATTTTAAAACTAGGTGTATTAAATTTAAATCTTAATTTGAAAAATTCAATATTTGTGGAAATATTGTATAAATAGTCAATTATTTGCAACATTTGAGGTCTTGTAATGGTTTATTTTGTTTTTTTCAAAGCATACTAGTATACTTTTATGGTCACATTAATGTCACGGTTTTTTGAAAAATTCAAATTATACGTATACACTTTTAATCACATAGAAGGTATTTTATAAGCCATTAATTATAGTAGGTATAACACACCAATAAGTGGAAGTTTTTATTTATTAGTTTTCTTTAATTCTGAGATGAAGATATTCAATAGCCCATTATAAAATTATAGCTTATTTTTTCTGAATCCAGAGACCTTAAAGCCTCAACATCTTTAATTTATTATATATTATTAAAGTGGTCAACGACAATATTATTGATAATATTATTATAAATTACCATTATAACAGTTATAAGTTATAACATAATATGGTATACATTATAATATATATCAGTTATCATATAATATTGCTATTGACATTAGCACATTAGCTACTATAGTTTATCAATTATCAGTTAAACTTACCGACTTAGTGCACTTGTACCTACTTCAGTACTTCATACTTGTAACATTATAAATACAGTCCATATACCGTACCACCATGGATTAAAACTTCAATCAACAATAATTAGTTAACTTTTTTGGAACTGATTGCTTAATTCCAACAGCTGAATTGTTTTATTCAATGAAAATTAAATAGAAATAGTTCCGGTAACTACTTCTATTTCATCTTGACCGGTGACAGTGTGAAGATATAATAGTGGTCCAAGCCGCTATTGTTCAGATTCAAACAAGGACAACTCTTGTATACAAAATAATACTGTTGTGGTGGCAATCATCATGAGCTTCAAAAAATTAGTATTTCTGTTGACGTTTCAGCGAGTATCGAGAACAAAATATCAAAAATGTTGGGACAAACTTTTAATACACTTTCAGTTATAGAAACTAGGTCTCGGTCACGTTATACAGCGGCGATATATGCGCAAGCAGGTCTCCTATGATAGCTCTCCGCTTGATGAGACCTCAATGCCGGGCACCAACATAGTCAAATAAAAAAGTACACACAATTTTTTGTTATATTAATGAGGTAGGTATTTGATATTTATTTTCGAATAAAGTCTGCACAATGTAAAATACAATCCATTTCAAACATTCAAAAACAGAAGGAAAAAAAAATTTAAAAATGATAATAATGAATATTATACTATTCTATAAACACTAAAATTGAGTATTTCTAAAGACTAAACATTAAACTATAGGTAGTATATAAATTGTAATGGCTACATAATATTGTACATACGTAGGGATACAAACAAATTTCCATCGTCACAGTACGCCAAAAACCGTATACATATAGTGTGTCAAAAACTAGGGAAACACCGACAAATGAAATAATAACGTTAACAAAAGTTTCCAGACTTTTGGACACACACACACATATATGATTTTAGAAGTTTTAAACAATGATAAAAGATTTTCATATTAACTACATTAAAAATTAAAAAATTAAAATATTCATAATAATGTACCTATTTAATAATAATAAAAAATAATAATTATATAATAATTATAATAATAATAATTGTTTTTGTTTTTTCAAACAATGATAAACCAAATTAATAAGAATGAAAAAAGCACTTACTCCTTACGAGGTCACATTAATGTTCACTATAAGTATATTATGTATTTGCACCATCAGTTGAACAAGTTTTACCCGTATTATAATATAATAAGTTAAATTAATGCAAAAAATAAAATAATCATAAACAAATAAATATTTATAACATATAGATATTTTAAAAAACTACTTAAACGACAATTATATTATTAGTGTCTTTTAAATATAATCTATATATTTATAAATGTTTATTATATTCTAATAATAACGTTTACAACGTATATAATATATATGTATATATAATATATATGTATATATAATATATAATGTATAGTTGTTCAAAATTACAGCGTTTTTTTTCTCTCTCTTTTTATACGTAAAACACAGATGTTTCTAGGTCGTACTTAATATTCTCGTAACGGTAAACATAATAATTGATCTATATTTATGTGTAATAATCAACATTGTAAAGGTATGGACTAATTAACAATGATTTTATCGCAAGAACATTAAATGCAACATATTTCTTTGCAGAATAGTATTAATGCGTTCCTACAGGTTTTACAGAGATATTAAGAGATCCAAAATCAGTACATTTACATACACTTCGTATCTATATATTATTATATAACACATTGTACTTATTGTAATATTGTATATTATACATAAATACGAAGACAGTCAATGTATTTACATATTAAAAAATAATTTCTAACAATATACATATTGTTGATTGACGCTGATATACATTAAAAAAATTGTTTACAATTAAATTAAATTATTATAGTACAGTAGACTCGATAGAATCTCGAAGGCCAACAAAATAAAAAAGTTACAATTAAGTTCGACGTGTCGAAAAATTCGAGATGTTGAAGTTCGAATAATATCGAACGTCTACTGTAAGTTATGTGTATGTGTGTATGTGTGTACAAATACTCTCACACACACACACACATACACGCGTATATTATTTTCACACACAATAAATATAATAATTATTTAAATATAAATTGGTCCTCAGTGAGTTTCGTCACTTTAGGATAATATGATTTGTACTGTTTTTTTCTAATTATAGGCAATTAATATATAAGGCATACAATGAGGTAGATGATTTTCCATTTTGTATTATTTTAATTACGTTAATAATTACTAAACTTAGTCCTATGCACCTAGTAAAAGAAAAAAACAATGAAACTACACAACTTGTTGCACTTTAATAGTGTTTAAATAATATGCAATTTAATATTAATAATAATTATATTATAGCAAAAACTGCTCGACAGACTTTTTGTTCCTCTAGCCAGAGAATGTAATTAACTACTACCCGTATGATTTCATTATTCTATATTATTTTATATTATTAGTAATATATAGACTAAAATTGAATAAAAAAAAGAAAGAATGCGTAAACAGCATATTTTTTCTACCTATTTACGAAAGGAACGTCCAAGGGAAACGCGTACGAAGAATCGAAATATTTGTTAAAAAATAAATAATAATAATAATAATAATAATAATAATAATACAATTAGTTCTAAAACGTAGAAAATAATAATAATTATATATATTTATATAAATAAATATATATTTATACTCGTGCTTTTTGATAACAACTATCGGAACCCTCCCTAAACGTCGTCCCCCCGCCCAGTGGCACGGTTCACCTAATAATATTTTGGTAAATAATGTATTATCATATCACAGATACTAAAATAATAAATGTTTCCTTTCTATAACACTAATGACGTAAAATAATAATATTAAACTTGACTATTATCATCAGTGGCTTGGCGAACGGTAATTTCAGAGGCCTTGGCTTTTCTTAAATAGAGGGGTGGGTGGTAGCCAGTGGGTCCCCTAGTAAATTGAATATGATATTCTCAATAGGTAGTCAATAACGATCTGAAATATAACTTGTTATATTACATTAATACATTATTATGCATAAATACTTGGGATATTTGTAACTGGCCTCTAGAAAATTTTTAGTTCGCCACGCCACTGATTATCATTTGGGCAAATAAAGTTCCACGTTATTGTATAATGTGTACGTACGTTGCGAAAAAATAAAGATTTGGGATAGTCGCATAATAATTATTATTATAGTAATTATTCTAATACGCAATAATAATAATAGTAATATTATAAATAAGTAAAATAATAATAAATTGTGATGATAATATTATTAAATATATTATGTACTACGATCATTTACGTTTAAATTGAGGCTTTGTTGGCGTACTGTATTACCGAACTGTATCGGCTGCACTGCGCCTCTTTCTTGGCGGTGGTCTCCATCGACTTGAGTATCATTTTTGACCGTTTCCGAGGTGGCAGGCTCAAGTGATCCCGATCGTTGGGTTGCGCGGGCGACGGTTGTGACGGTGGTGGCGACGACGGCACCATGGTCAATGACACCAAGGGCGGCATCTCCACGGTCTCATCTTCGGCGGTGTACCGGACGGGCGATACGACTGCGCGGTCTTCGGCAGCCATCATCATGACGTAATCCACGTGCTGCTGTCGCTGTTGTTGTGCAGCAGTCTGCATCGTGTGGAACGACTGTTGCTGTTGTTGTCGCTGCTGCTCTTGGTGTAGTTGATGCTGCTGTTGTTGTTGTTGGAGTTGCTGCTGCTGTTGTTGTTGTTGTTGGAGTTGCTGTATGTGGTGTTGTTGCTGTTGCAATTTTTGCTGTTGTTGTTGTTGTTGTTTTTGTTGTTGTTGTTTTTGTTGTAGTTGTTGTTTTTGTTCTTGTTGTTGCTGCTGCTGCTGTTGCTGTTGTTGTTGTTGTTGTTGCTGTTGTTGTTGCTGTTGCTGTTGATGAAATTGGTGTCGACGAGTCATTGGTGGTGGAGACACGTCCATGGTTAGAGTCATCGAGCCCGAAGAGCTGCTTGCTGGACTCGGAGGTTGGTCGCAATTGTATTCATCGTCATCTTCGTCATCGTCGTAATCACTACGTTTCCGGTTTCTGCCCGGTAACCTGGGATACAAGTACTGACACAGCTTGTTAAGTTCAGTGTCTACGTCAGCGGCACCCATCACCATCACGTCGTCATCGTCCTCTTCGTCCTCGTCATCTTCGTCATCATCGGATTTTCCAACACCACCACCATCGTCTTCCCGAACCATTACTACGGCGGCAGTCGCTGCCGTCGACTGCTGCAGGAGTAGGTTGGTGCGTTTCGGTTCATCAGACAGCTGAAGCAATACCGCAGCGGACGTAGCCACTGTCGACTTGTTGTTCTCTTTATCGCTACCACAGCTCGACGAAGTCTCACCCTCGGATGCCGCTTCTTTTTTGGATGAAGACTGCACAGTGATGACCAGTGCACCCGCGGCCGCAGCCGCAGCAGCACTGCCGGTCACCTGGGTAGCTGCGGCAGCCGAAACCGCTCCACTTCCGCCGTTGTCCGAATGACTCTTGATGTGGCTCTCCATGGTCTTCTTGGACGTGAACGTGCCATTGCAAATCGTGCACTTGTACACTTTCTCACCATAATGCGACACCTGGTGGAGCTTGAGCACGTGGTTGTAGCCGAAAGACTTTCCACATATGTCACACGAGTAAGGCTTCTCGCCTGTGTGCGTGCGTGTGTGCACCTTGAGCTGCTTGGAGCACGTGAACCCCTTGTCGCAAGTTTTGCACACGTACGGTTTTTCACCCGTGTGAGTGCGTATGTGAATGACCAGCTGGCCGCTCTGGATGAACGTCTTGTCACAGAACGAACACTTGTGCGGCCGTTCACCAGTGTGTATGCGCATGTGCCTATGTAACTTTCCACTGTGCTCGAATGCCCGCTCACACACGTCACACTTGTACGGCCTCTCCTTGGTATGGATACGCCGGTGCACGCTCAGGTTCTCTTTGACCGAGAACGGTTTGTCACAATATTCGCATTTGTACGGTTTTTCACCGGTGTGAGTTCGGTAGTGCCGGGTCAACCTAGCTGGTACCGTAAACGACTTGCTGCAGTAGTTGCACTGAAACGGGCCGTCCGTCGTCGTGTCCTTCACGTGAGATCGCAAGTGATTTTGAAAAGCGTTTTTCTGCATGAATACCTTGTGGCACACGTTGCACTGCAAAGACTTGTCAGACGCCGTGGTGGCCGTATGAGATGACGGAAGTACAGCTGGCTCGGCCGCACCCGCCGCGGCCGCCGTCTTAGCCGAGTCGATGATCACGGCCGCCTCTTCGACTACCGGCGTTATGGTGAACACCGGAAGATCCGGGCTGCACACCACTCGCTTGATAGCCGCCGCCGCCGATCCCTCGGAAGCGTTTTCTGCGACGTCGATAGCCGTCTTTTGGCGCGGTTGCTGTTGTTGTTGTTGTTGTTGATTGTGTAGAGTTCCCGTTGTAGCAGTGGCTGGTTTCAACGGGCTGAGCGTACAGTCAATGCCAACACGAACGAAATCTGTCGATCCTCCTCCACCAGACGAACTCAATATTGGCATTTCCCCATTGATAAGTTCTACCATGTCGGATACATGGCCCAAAACATTTTCTATAAACAAAATAAAAAACAAAATGTCATATAAAACGAAATAAATGACACGAAAACGAGCTAGTATGTTATTTCTATTTAATAATCACGTGGTATATGGTTTGTACAAGGTGAAGAAATAAGTCATACAAAACTAAATACTGGGATCATATAATTGTTAAAAATAAATTTATTTTATATGTTTTCAATAATACCTAGTGATTTTTTTTTATATTGAATTGATTATACATAACTAATAATTATAGCTTGTAAGTTATACCTATTATATATTTAACATGAAGGTTTTATAACCTCTGCGCCTACTATGCATCATGTTTAAATTTTATATCATGCGGAAAACATAATAATGCCAACATTAATTATATATCAGATGGTATTTAATATAGTTTTCAACTTATGAAATAATTTTACGCATACACCATACACGCCGCTTAAAAGGGTGGGTTACCGAAGTATAAACATTGTGGTTGTATCATATTTTGTTTGTGTACGAGACTGTAAGAGACTGTAAGATACTCATTTAATTTTGACCAATTGTACTATATTATGTATCCCATAAGAAGTTTATTTTCAAACATGAACACAAAGACCAAAGTCAAAAGTTACAACGCTTAAAAGAAACATGACAACACGATGACTTTTATTAGATCAAATTGTACATAGTAATGTAATAATGTCGACATGTTGTACAACTATACAAATATCCTTTCCCTGAGTGTTGTATTATATTATATGTTATTATAATAGATATCATATTAGGCTCACAGTAATAATTTAATATATTTTGTGTGTGCATATTATAATATTTTAAAATCTCACTCCTTTATAATGTGTGAAATAAGTTTGTAATGTATAAACGTACAGACTTATATCAGTACACAAAGCGACGAGCCATTGCCGTTTTATTGTCGATGAAATAATGTTTAGAATAGTATTATTGTCATACACTCTTCGTATAATCGTCGTCTCATCATTGTGTGGTTTTTATGCACGGGTCGTTAAGTATAAAAGCTTACTGTGTGGTGATACGTGCGATTAATGATTCCAGCTATATATTATAATGCACGTTAATTGTTCGACGAATTTACGTACCTACAGTATTTTTTTCACACGTTAAACTCTCTTGTCATTGCTGAAATTAATTAATAATTTGTATTGGATTTTAAGGACAGTGGGGGAGGGTATTATTATATATTAACAAACCGTTTGTACAGACGATGGGTTGAGTGTATACTACAGATATAGTTTGGATATTACACGTAAGTATTAAAATTATGTCATCCCGTATATTCATAAAACCAATAAACTGAGTACATTTGGTCACACACATTTTTAAGGTCAATTGTTGTAGCTTTGGAACAAAAAATGTTATAAAACCATTGAATTATAACAATATTACTTATATATTTTTAAACTGTTCGCTATTTTTATAAACCTCATGATAAGTAATACTATTATTATTAATAATATTAAGTATTAATAAATAATAGTTAATAGTATTAATACTATCAAGATAAAAATTTGATTTTTTCTATAAAAATATAGGGAGAACAAATTATATATATTATTAGTTTTTTCAAAACACAACAATTTACCAAAAATGTGTGTAGCCAGTTAAATGAATCACCCTGTGTATATTACATAGTCAGTTATTTTGTGGAAAAAAAAAAAACCGTGTTTTATACAATATAATATTCACTACCTATACCTACAGTAGGTACAGATGACCTGTCTAGAGCACGCAGGCTGCGGGGTATATAATATTTATAATATGTATAGGTATTATATTACTAACAGAATAATTCTATTTTTCTTCGTTATACTGAGGGCCAACGGCGTACTTTTGGAGAAAATGTTAAAATTACTTTTTGTCGTGTGACGGTAGTGTATTCAAATCAAAGAAATGTTTGTTTGACATCGATTTATTGCGATTATTCCAGCTTTATCTGATGATGATAGTGATGAGCATGAGGAACATGAAAATATATCGGCATTCAGTAGCATAAAAAAAAATCACAAATGTGGGAGGAGATTAGCGAAATACTGTATTTTGCACGCAAGACGCAGACGCCCGTGAATTGCCTATTCGTGACGCCGCGCCACGCGAAACTCGCAAATTTCTCGATGTTTGTTATAACGAAGTTACGAAAGTTCAACGCTATTCTGAAACGTATGTTGATAGATTTTGAAAACAAGTCGACGTGAACGAAACGTCAACAGTTGGAATATGAATAAATCCTGTATGGCTATATTATTATTCCTACTTGCAGGATTGTTCATTAGTTAATATAGTTATACCAACATTCTTGTATAATAAACTTTTATTATGTACCAGTGTGCCACCCCAAAAAAAATATATAGTAAATATATTTCAATATTACGTACTTAAGCATAATATTATATAGTAGGTGTAAAATGAGTTACAAAAATAAATAATTTTTGTTAATACAAGTGATTAAAAAGTATCAACTATTATAGGTACATGCGTGCATATAAATTACAATCAAAACACTTAAACACGGGCAATAAGAATAACTTAATCGTGTCTTACCAGTGTTTATTGTTATTATGGCGGGTATTATACTATCACCGAATACTATTTCAGGCTATATATCTAATTGAATGATATAAAAGGCAAAACAAGGCAAAGGTCTTAAATTAAAGAACACGCGCGTTAAAAATAGAAACATTTCAGTTAGTAAGTTAGCTGTTTCTTATATACAATAATTGAGATAAGTGTTAAAATACGTATTTTAAATATAATATTAATTCAATTTATAAATATATATTATAATATATTCTCAATAGTTTTGCATCAGTAATACAGTTTTTTTAATACCTATGATTATTTTATTTTTAAATTACAACTGGTATTTTACTTTGCTATTGCCGAGGCTATTGCTATACTTAATGGAAACTATTAATTAATTTCTATAAATTAAAAAACACCAAATAAAATATAATGCATAAGACCATCCAAAAAAATAAAGTCTTGGTTTTAGGTTTTATATACTATAGGTATCTACACATATTTTTTTATTTCTCGTTATTTTATCTAATAAACTCTTAAATCTATGATTAATTCTATGTATATCATGAAGGAACTTACTAACCACAATTTAAGTATAAAATGTATCTTTAAAATACAATAATATTAAAACATATTAGGTGTTAAAAATATAAACATTTAAATAATACATAAATAAAATTAACTTGAAAAAAATATATAATAGATTTCATTTTAAATTGGTAAAATACATACATAATTAATCGACATACAAGGCAGCTAAACCTATTTGACAGCATGACATACGTATTAACTATATATACCTAGTACCTACGTATGTCTCAAATAAAACAATGTTTTTAATCATTATTATCATTTATTAGTTGGTACATATAATGTCATATTAATATAATTAAAATTTTCTTCACTTTTTTATTTATCATAATCAAATCTATAAAATTTATATTTGAGACTAAAAATTAAAACGTACGTAATTAAATGCTGTCCGATAAAAATTTGATTGCTTAGGTATTTATCTAATAATTTTACCTAAATGTTAAACGTGTAAAACGTATGTATTTTTAAATACCCATCAAGTTAAATACGAACTCAATGGTAATTATTATATTTTTATTTTCCAATTATTAGTAGTATAACTGTTATTAATTATTGATTCACTAATATAAAATTATTTTCTATGACACCTATGAATAACACAGTTATAACATTTGCAAAAAATAACAAGTAATATGATAGTTATTTTATTGTAGTTAATTAATCACTCTTAACCATAAGACGATAATTATTCATAATCGAAAATCCACGTGTACAACGCGAATAGTAATACATTGTCACATTTTGCTACGTCAACTATATACGGGCTATATATCTATAATAGTATACACATCAAACGTAGACAGTTTTACGTATCACTACATCAGAATTCAAATGGAATAAAAAAAAATTATTATTCTCAACAAAAACTGAAAACGTAAACAAAATTCAACGTCTCTGGACAAAGCAAACTGCATTGGCACACCAAAGTATTAGAAAGGTGTGCTTGAAAAATTTTTAAAATAAAATAATTAAAAAAAATCGTCTGTCGTCCGTTTTTGGTATTAGAACCGTAAATAGTCTGTAATGCGTGTGTGTCGATGACATCGGACGACAACGGGAATAATAAACGAAAAAACTGAAACTGAAATTAAAACGTGCGTTTTTTTCTATAGTTCTTACCGCCGGCGTTTTTGTTGTTGTTTTTGAGGTTGAGCCAGAAATTTTTTATCCACTGTTTTTGCGACTTGTCCCAAAGCTGAGCCATTTTTCAATGGGGCATTCCTCCGCGGTTACTGACAGCAGGGAGACGAGCGCGCGGGACCAGAGACTAGACGAGACTAATAGTATAATGTAGTGACTATACTGCAACTATGCAGTTACTCTCTCTCTCTCTCTTTCTCTCTCTCTTTCTCTTTCTCACACTATATATATATATTTTGTATATATGCGAGCGGTGCAGCTGCTCACGGCCGTCTTAGGAGAGGGGAAGAGAACGAAAAGAGGAGATGGGAGAGAAAGACGAATGATAAACAAATTTAATAGAGTAAAAAACAACAAAAAAAATAGGAAATTGTGAAAACTCGAGATAAGCAGTACGCGACTATGCAGGTGAACGCTTGCGGTACGAATGTTGCGCGCGATGATGCGGACGTGCAGTAAATAATATACGATATTATCGCACGGTCGCGGGACCGCGGCCAACAGTCAACAGCCTACTGAAGCCCCGAAGGCGGCGGGAGCGTTCCGTCCGAAACGGTCTCCTCTCTCGGTTTCCCGGCGGCACGTGTATACGGACGTTCGCAAGTGTGCGTATGTGTGCGTGTGCGCGCGCGAGCGAGCGAGTGAACGAGCAAGCAAGCAAACAGCAGTGGCGGCGGCGGCGTCAACGGCGCGCGCGTTTACACTGCCTATATGTCGTCGGGTATTATTGTGTTGTTATGGTGCCTCCCCACGCGAGCGGCGATTCGTGCTTTGGCGGCGACGATAGCATTGCGTGCGTGCGTATTTAGCCTGTTCCCGAGTGCGTTTGTGCGTGTGCTGCGTATAATATATATATAGTGATATGTGTGTGTGCTCACGCACCCGCGATAAGAAGAACCAAGGACTGCCGACTGGAACCGAACGCGGCCGAACGCCGGAGCGTGAGGGAATCGGCGCGGGGAGGTGGAGGAGCAGAGCACCGCGCGTATTTACGCTCGCGAACCGTAGGGGGAAAATAATAACGTAACAAGCCCAAAAATACGGAGGTCATCGAACGACGACAAAGCCCTCGATTCGTCCTTGTTCCCTTGCATGCGACTATATGCACACTACACGGTGAAGAATGCGGGGAGGTGGGTATGAGGGTTGGGGTGAAAAACGACAGCGATAATATTAAAAGAATATTCCTGCGGTAAGAATAAAAACTTATCGCCGACCTCAGCTGCTGCTGCTGCATCGGCCCACCTGCCGGGTACACGTGGAGCATAGGGTTGTTTTTCGTGTGGGAAACGCGAGCCCTGACAGCCACCCGCGAAAGAACACACGATAAATGCCGGCGTGGCGGGTGTCTCATCTTGGTCCCAACGCATATCATTAAAATATTATACAACCTTGGCGAATGACGATGATCGTCGACGGTATTAATAGAACGATTTTTTTTTTTCAAGAAAGGAAAAACAAGGTTTTGATTTTTTCGTTACGACGTGTTCTGCAGTAACGACCGCGGGACACCGGTGCGTTGACCCCGGTGAATCACACGCACCGCGCACGCACACGCGAGCCAATAAGTCGGGCATTGGGGTCGGGATACCAACGACGACGACGACGAAAACGATCGCGGCGGCGTTTATTCTCCGAAAAAAGGGGCGCGCCTGCATTTGGAAGGCCCGGGGTTCGTTGACACGGCCGTTCGGGAGCAAGCGCGTGTGCATCTGCCGAATTTTTATTTTATTGTTGTTCTTGTCGAAAACGCAGTACGCACTACGCATAGACGCAGGAAGGCAACGTACGTTTCATTGCCGATGGAGAGAAAGAGTGAAAGACCGGGACGGAACGAGAACGAGAGAGAGTGAGCGAACAGTGATAAAAAATGAACCCAACAAATTACACATGATCGCGCGCTTGCATAATATAATAGTATATAATAACAATAGTGATTGTAATAATATTATAATAATATCATATTAGTTTTTGATATACGCATAATGTATAAAATTATAATAGTACATAATATTAATAATAATAACATGGCATAGGCCACATCGGTGGCGAACGTATGTGAGAGACCCGGCGTACCGCCGAGTGCTCGTTCGCTGATACCGTCGTGAGATTGTCACAGTACTACTATTATTATTACTACTACTACTAATACTACGACTACTACTACTACTAATAATAATAATAATAATAATAATAATAAATGGGTCACGGAAAAATAAAAAAAAGCTACAGACAATTATTATTATCGCCAATTATTACAATAGTCGCGTAGTGTCGAGTAGTGTGCACACTGCACACACGGACGTTTAAACTATTATCATGAGTGCTGTTGCAGTCGGTCGTATCGCGCGCATATAATGTCGTCGACGCGGTTATGAAAAAGTCGGCTTAAAAAACGAGATAACAATAATATCATTTTGTGCGTACGTCGACGGCGAGGAGATTCTGCTATGCAGGCAGTAGTGGGAACAGAATTGGAGTGTGTATAGTTATGCAACGCGCAAATCGTAACACGAAATATTTTCGTTAGGCGATACGGGCGTCTGAGAGTGCGGGCGTCGCGGTGCAGAACATGCGTGCGGCGACGGCGGCTAATGTAACCTTTCCCAACGCATCGGTGCGGCGGCGGCGCGGGCCGGCGGTTGTGGAGGAGCCGGACTGCCGTTTAGGTGGGCCTCCACCGTCGGTAAAAACGCTGGTCCGACGCCTACACGTGGGGCCCCGCGAACTGCTCCTCGGCAACGCGAGGCCGCCGCCGCCCGAACACCGACCTCGACAACGCGGCGGAGAGTGTGGAACGCGTTCGTATAATATTATAATGTGAACCCCGCTCGCCAGTCCAATCCGCCACCAATACCCTTTCCCACCCACAAACGTCGCCGCCGACACGCACTACACAATAATACATTTATTATTCGCACTGGAAATTCGCTTCTTTTGTATTATATATATATTAATTTTTTTAGACGCTGTCCCCGCCGCCGGTGCCGCCGCCACCGACGATCGTCGTGTAGTCAGTCGCCGCCGCTTTTGTCTCTATACACCAAACACAGACGGCATCGAAGGTTTCGAAAAAAAAACCAGCACCTATATATATACGCATATTAATATATTATATTATACTATGTTGTACACTGCTTCGATATTTTTTGAGCGTAGTAATTTTATAATTTTATCTCCTGCTCGTGTGTGTGTCGTACTGTCGTAGTAGTCATGGCTCACGGTATTGGTCATGTCGTACGCGCTTACACGACTCACCATAATAATAAGTGTGTTCATAATAACATAATATATATACTAATATATCGTATTACCCGGTTCGACGACGACGCCCCGTTTGTGTGAAAGAGAGTTCGTTGCCCTCGAAAACAACCCCTAATGCGTCGGGTCGGCTGGTCGGTAGGTAATATTATGTGAAGAGATTAGGAGGGGGTAGTAAATGGGTGTGTGTTTATATTGTTATTATTGTGCGGTACACGAGCCGGCCGGCGATTGACGGATATTATCCGCGAAATGTCGGCTCGAAGACCCGGTTTGCTACCGATCGGTTTTGACAATGAGAAGAAAAAAAATAAAGAAAACAAAGTATGGTAAAGGACTAAGATGATAACAATATGGACGAGTATAATGTACCTATGATGTGTATACGTATTACGACAATACTATTTCAACGTAAACAGGGAAGACGCATATAGATAGTGTGAGAAGAAACATTATAATAATATATTATATAAACAAACAAGAGCCATAAATATAATGCTCATTGTAATTTGTAACCGTTTACGATCGGTATCAGCTCCGCGCGTATTACGCGGACCGCGTTATCGGCAGACCTGCTACCTGTCGCCGTATACATAGAAAATACATATTATTATAGTTTCCCCTTTATAGGTAATATACTAATATGTTTATATGTAACATAACATATTATAATCTTATAAATTGGCAATGTCAGACCTTTTTCCTAGTTTAATTATTCCATATTTAGTTTGGCGGACAATTATTGTGTTGGTATTAATATTAATATTTTATATTTTAATCGTTTTGTTTTAACTAGACTTCTTAATACACTATAAATAGTATAAAAATATATAATATTATATAATAAATAGTTAAACGTCAAAATTCCAAATCATGTCATGTTTAATCGCAAGTCAAGGGACTATATTCTCATCTTTTCCCATTGACTTCTGCGTTTTGACGAGTACACGCGCAGTGTACACGAAATAATATTTTTATGCATGCTAATGTAATACCTACTGCCTATTTATAATATGTATATTAATATTATTTAAATATTTTCGATTGTAAAATAAAAATCAGCTTTCACAAACAAATTAATTATTATACCTACAATAATCAAAAAACCTTACTTTAAGTGCTTACGATAATTATGAACTAAATTAATTAGTATACCACGACAGAACAGATGGGCTTAAATCTTAAATTATGAACTACTTTAATAATATAATTATTTGTATATCTAATTTATTAATTACAATCATAAATTATCAACATACATTTAAAAAAAATCAGTACCTAATAACTATTTTTATTGATTTATTTTATTATTATTAGTATTATATATTTATATCTTTACACTAATGTACAATGTATACAATTATTATCAGATCATTATAATTTAAAAATGGCTAATTTTTAATGTGTTCTTGTCATTTATCGGCGTGGTAATAAATTACTATAAAAATAAAAACCATTTAAAATGAAAATAATTAAATGTTTTCTGATAACCTTTGAACCTATCCATCGTTTAGAAATAAAATCAGGAAATGTCGCTACAATGCAGTGTCCAGACTCCAGACATACGAGTACATGACTTAAATTAAATTTCTGTTGACATTTTATTTTAAACGAAACTTTTGCTGCTAGTTGCTACGCAATATTCAACATTATGTTCGTAAATTTAATAACAAATTAAACCAAACGTTGCCCTGATATGCATTGATATTGTATTGATTAATTGTATATTATATTTAATATAAGACCATACAACTTAGTACACTATTATAGTAGGTACCTAAATACTTTTATTCTTATAACTATATTTGTATTGATTATGATATTGCAAAATTCTTTGAATATTTAGCAATTCTGTTTAATAAACCATCAAAATTTAAACTATGCTTTTAAAAGTGCACAAACTCTCTTAAAAACATGTTTAAGGCTTTTACGTATAAAAATAACAGATTAAATTATAGGATGGGATGAGATTTGAATGCACTGAAAAATTGCAAAATTGCAAAAATGCCTAAAAAAATTAATTCGTTAAAAATTACATTATAATAATCATTAATCAGTATTTCTCAAAACACATAGTCCGTTTGCGAAGCTATTTAGAACACCAGAAAAAAAATTATATTCCAACAAAATCCCATATCTACTTATAAGTTACTAATAACTTATAATATTTAACTTCGCCAAATAACTCTACTATAACTCTTCGCCAAACTACTACACGTCATTCGCCACGTCACATATCATCTACATGCATCGTTGCACTCGTTCTGTTTTTCCGTTTCAAAAACTATAAGAACTTATAGGACATATAGAATTCGGTCACTAAAAACTATAGGGATAAATAATACAATACCCAGTTAACAATAAAACTATTAATCTAAGTAAATGCCGCAACAAATGGTTTTCTTTACTATCTAATCAGAAAGCGTAATTATTATTAAATCGGTGTATGATTATATTATATCGTTGGAGGCTTTAAGCAATTTATTGTATTATAACTATCAGTCGTTAATCTGATAGATGTTGGTATTTACTATTTGTCACTGGTAAAAATATAAAAGATATCGAGTTGAAGCTTCGATATTTATTTATTTATTTTATGCTACGGGCTTAGCTCTTTGACAAATATCGTTGTAAATATATGGAAAAAAAAAGTATTGTTGACTTAGGTCAAGATATATTTTATACATTTAAATGATATTTTAGTATGGATAAAATGAAGATTTATAAGATTTATTGACATAGATCGGAACAAAATCAAAATTATAAATATAGGATCAATGATTTCACTGATAATTCCTGCAGTACGAGTATATTGCGCAACCGAGTTCATAAACACGATCTCCAGTATGTTTTGGCTCCGGTTTTCGCATCGACTATCAATATAAATATTATTGGTATTAGATATAACTTTCAAATTATTTTTTCGATCCATATAGACGCGGCGATAATACCATATTCAATTGAATAATACGTTGGTAAAATTATAATTTAAAAAAGAAGAAAGTATCCAGGTACCCCTCTACCTATATGTATGCAATAATTTAATAATTATATTTAATACTTTTAATATTTTACATCCACTGAACTAAAATTTGAAACGACTTTATCA